GTGACGGATTTCAGAATTTCAGGGGGTCTTCCAGTTTGTTTTGAAGGTGAAGGATACTGGCTATGAGATGCCAAAGGGATGGGAATTTTAAACTGATTTCTTACTGAGGAAGTTAGAATTGCAGCGATGTGAATAGCTGGGTTCATACAGCTCACTGTATCATAGTTATTTTGCAGGTTGTGCAAAGTATTGTGATTTGCAGACCTTATTTACGTCTTAGTGTGCTCTGTGACCCCAGTTAGTTTATTCAGTAAATCATAAGTTATCTGGTCACTGTATTCTTAAATGCTATGGATATTATATATAAGCACTGGAAAGAATGAGCTTCATGGCCCAATGATTGACTGAATAAAACAAAGTTGTTTGGATTATTAACATGCTAAGCTATAGGCAGGCATCCCATGGTCTCCAAGGTAAATGCTTTTATAAGTTTAATGCATCTATTTCAATCTATACCAATGAGACACATCAGTGCTTCTGGTAACAATACTGAAATGCTGCTGAACATTTTGGTTTATCCTCGTGATGTCACTAGCATAACCTTGAGGCCTTCAGAGGCTGGTTTCTTTTTTTTATTATAAAAAGTAAAACCCACACTGATAAAAATATTGCTACATTTATGTTAAGCAATAAATCATGGATTGCAAAACATTAAAGATTCTTTTCAATCAACTTGCTAAGTCAAATCCTAAATTATAACCTGATACAAAGTGTGAACCCACTCAATAAGAAACAGCATTTTTTAGCTCTTTATTAAATACCATGTTAGTTCTTTTAAAATTCTTAAGTCTCAAATGATGCAATGGTGCTGTACATCTGTGTCTTCTCAAATTTGCAAATTTTATCTGTAGAAGAGTACATGCTTTTTGCATTCCTATTGTTATATACATTTCCACTGGCTTCTAAGGATGCCAAATGTATAATGATTTGATCATGAAATAGCTATTAATTTCTCAGTTACATCTGCATGCATTTAAGGCACATATGCCAAATATTTTTGGAAGTGACAGAGAAAGATCGCAATGATACTTAGGTCACACGTAACTACTTACCCCTATTAGGTTGTATAGGAGGCACAGCCAGCCCTTTAAATTACAAGCCAGCCTTATGTGCTCAGTCGCTAAACCTGAGGGCCCATAAAAGAAAAGAAGGGGGATCTGTCAGGTTGTAGAAAAGTGACTTGAGAGAAAGTTGGCTGGAATCCTGGATGAGGGCTTATGACAAGTATGTAAGCTATAGTTAGATTTCTCTGTGTGTATATGTATTTGGGGTATATTTTATCTTCTTTGCCTGTATGTAATGTGTAGACTCCTATGTTCTTTTGATACCTTTAATAAAGTTGATTTTTGTTTAAATCCTGGAACTGACTGGTGACCTTCTCTTACCTACAAAGTTTTTGTTTCCCTTTCGGTATTTAGCCAGACCCCTGGTGGGTGAGGATTTCCTCCCTCCCCTTCAATCCTCTCCTGGTTTCCAGAGGGCTGGGATGGAAGGAGGGAACTGGTTTATATTGAAGGGATGTGATAACAAGGACACCTAATTTTCTATGCACTTTTGTCTGCAGACATGATTGCCTTAGAAATTAAGGATCTCAGAATTTGAGATCTTGTTGTATGCCCAAATGCTAACAATCATTAAAATCAAGTTTTCTATTTTACTATAAATGTAAATTACACAATCAACCAACCATGTTTTAGCCAAGTATGTACTGCAAGCATCGCTTCTATGTTCAGTTTATAGTTTGGTGTATCATAACAGTAGCAATGGGGCAATGTATATGAAAGAGGTGTCAATAGCTTGGCTATTCTATCCAATCTTATGATAAGCACCATGTTTTGAAAGTTCTCCAGCAAAAGTAGATAATTGCAAACTCCTAAGAGCCGTTCAGACCATTAAGATTTTATCAATCTTGTAAATGACAACTGCAGTAACAATAGTTTGAAAGTTTATTGTTGCCAATATTACTAAACCTGAAAAAGACCAACCATATCATTAACCAGGGTGAGGAACATGTAGTCCTACAGATGTAGCTGAATGATAATTTCCAGTAACCCCTACCAGCATGCCCAGTGGTGACAGATGCTAAGAGCTACAATTCAGCAGCATCAAAAAGGGCAAAAGTTCTCCATCTCATTGTAAAAAACATTACTTTATTTTTAATTCCTAGAGTATTCCTTAATTGGGCAGGCTACACATCTTTCTTATGTGAATATTGCTAGCAAACACATCACATGTAGGAGGCAGTCTTTTAAAGATACATATATTCACAACTGGGGTTCCCATTGGCCTGGATCATGTATAAACTGAAGACCAATTTCACTGATTTTTATCACTGGTTTAGTGAATCTAGCCCATTATAGTATATATCTATAAACCAAATTCAAGCAGCTACGGCATAGCATAATTCTGCAAACCTTGGTAAAATTCCCAGCTAAGTACAACATGTGAACCGGGCCTTTGTTTTTGATGGCATTAGTCTAGAAACAAGTTCTTGGTAAACCACTACAATACACTATAATGTTATACAACTGCATACTGTAAATGAGGAACATGTAACTTTCCTGGGCTACGAAGTGATAAACTGGGAGCCATATACCAAAAATGTACAATTTAATTTGATGACATATTTAAATAAAGTGAATATAATTATACTTCAGCTATGTATTTAATAAATAATCCTTCTTCCTTTGCACTAGAATTCTATGTATGTAATAAATTTTGGAGATCTTAAAGAATCTACAAGGATTTAGAGAGGCGGTATAGTTTCCATAACTGAGATTGACTACAGCAGAGATGCACTATCTTTCTCTAGATAAATTAATCAGATCCAATATGACTTCCCCCTTCTGTAAGTTCCTCAATGAATTAATGTTGCATAGCATTTGTTATTCCATTCTACTGGTTATTTCAGCTATCTACCATCTGTTCATTTTGTAATAGCATATTAGAATAATGGTTTCCTCTGTACACTAATATTAAAATGGATATTTGGGGAAAAGGGAAGGAAGATTTGCTCCTTTTGCTTTATGATCAGCATGCTGAACCACAGGAAGATTAAAAAAGAACACAATACAAATGAAAAACTAAGCAAATATTTCAGCAAGTATAGGAAGGGTAGCAAAACTGCATCCGTCCAACTCCATTAAAGGTGAAATGAATTGAAGTAGTATCTCTGAAAGTGTAGTCCAAGGATGCCAAGCGGCCCCCCCAAAGACACTCTTAGGGGTTTGCAAAATCAAAATGAAGATCTTTGCAAAAAAAATTAAAATGTCATCTTTCTCTTTGTTACAAAATAGTATAGTTTCCAGACAAAATATTATTTAATATTTAATAGCTTAATATTTATGATCATTATAATTTATATCAGTATAATGACCATTTAGTAAGTATTCTATTAATGTGTCTACATTAATTTTTGGTATGCTAAATATTGATAAATATAATCCATATACTCTTTTGTGGACCTTCATAGTTGTTAAAAGTGAGAAGGGGTGCAAGAGCAAAATGTTGTTTTTTTTAAACACAGCATTAAAGAATAGATTTAACAAACAAATCAATTAACAGGTATAATTTGAGATTAAAGATGAGATTAATTACTGGCCTGATGATTTTTCAGACAAATAGAGAAGTCACTTCAGAACATAACATTTAAATACACATTTGAAACCCCAGGAATGCATAGGCTAGGTTCATGTTAAGTTAAACCACAGTTTAACCAAGATTGAATAAACTACAGGAAATTATTAAAACAGTAAACCATGAAGCATGTGTGAAATGATTCACAGTTGGACTCATGCTTGGCCTTTGTAGTGTTTTTTATTATTATTATTAACATGGTTATTTTGCACTCACGTACCATTTCCCCTTTCTGTCACACTGAAAATTGCAACTTTGAAAATGTTTTAAAGTGCTTGGGAGCTCATATTCAGAGTTTTAAACCACTGCTTTCAGTTCTGGGGCTTTTACTACAAACTATGATTTGTGAACCTGAGTGGCAAGTGTCATAACATCAAGCCAAAACCAGAGGTGATGTGGCTTAGCATCACGGATAAGATAGGCCACACACCACAAACTGAACACTTTGTGTATTTGCTTATCTTTTATTCCGATGTTAGGGATAGAATCCAGACAACCAGTAAACAGAGCAAAAGCATGTCTCCTGTAGATTTGTCCGGATTTCTGTAGTCCCAAAAGTCGCCTCTAAAATGCTTAACGAGATTTGATTTATGAATGACATATGTATGGGAATGCATGGAAACAAGTTCCATAATTATACACTGCCACAACCAAACAGGCTTTCGCAATCACTCGTGAATTGTCCCTGCACAGTTAAATCTTCGCCTATTATATACGTTCCAGGCAGTTTTTGACTCCTGGCGAAGAGTCCCTGCAGTTTTCTTGCCAAGGTGTTTCAAAAGAGGTTTGTCATTGTCCTCTTCCTAGGGCAGAGAGAGAAGCTGGCCCTTATTCTGGGATAGCAAAACCTAAAACCCGTTGCCCTGCAGAGGTTTTCGGACGCCTCACGTTGCACAAAGACGGACGGGGGTTACCCAAACGCCTATGGTGCAAGACCCCAAAACCCTCCAGCACGTCCGTCAGCAATACCTGCGCGAAAAAAGCCTCCCCTTTTCTGAACCGAACCGAGCGACTAAGTGAAACCTTTCCCCACTTCCCAGCTGGATGAGGAAAAAAAAAAAAACTGGTGTCACAAGGACGACGGCAGCGGGGAGAGGGGTCGGGGGGAGAGAGGGGGGAGTAAACAGGTAGGAAGGAGGAAGTTAACAGAGTTGAAACCGGGAGGCGTTTTCGAGAGCAAGTTTGGTCGAAGGTGGGGGAGGGGCTACCTCACCCGCGGCGGAGGTGAATGCGGGGAGATGGGGAAGGTGGGGGGCGGCGGCCAGACCACCGAGAAGTTCTCCCGCAGAAGACCGATCTCTCTTCCCCCCCCCCCCCCCCCCTCCCCCCCCCCCCCCAATGACCTCAACCTCCACACGCCTTACCTTGCCGAGGCACAGCAGAACCAGGAAAAAAACCTGCGCCTGTCCCCTCATGGTGCCTGGTGGCGGTGGCGGCGGCAGCTCGGGAATGCGCGCTCTCACTCAGCGCCGCTCTATGTAGTCATGGCAGAAAGTCTCCTAACCCGCCCGCCAAAAAAAAAGAAAGAAAGAAAGAAAGAAAGACAGCCCCGGAGGAGGGAAGCGGAGGAACCGCGCTGCTCACGCCTCGCTCCCTTCTCCGAGGAGCCCTCCGCAGCCTTTTCTTTTCCACCCCCGCGGCCGCTGGGAAGAAGTCAGGGACGAGACGCGAACTAACAGGCAGAAACCCCGGCACGGCAACCGCCTGGGGAGGGCAAAGAGTCAGCCACCGCCCCTTTCTGACCATTCATCGCTTCCTCCACGCTGCCGTTTCCAGAGGACAGAAATTCAGCTCCACGTTGGCGGCAGTTAAAGGGTTGGTTTTCAGCGTTTGATGCTGGCAGCCGAGTAGGAAGTTGTTCGAGCCCGCCTTGCTTCTTTCCCTCCCTCCTTCTCTCCCCCGATCGGGGCTTAGGGTGCAAGCGGCTCCCTTGAAGCGTTTTGCCTCCCCTCCTCCTCCTCTTCCTCTTCCTCGCAGAGAATATTTTCTGCGGTGGGGGAATTTCAAAATGCCGCTGGATGAGGGATCTTCCGGTTTCTTTGGAGAGCGGGAGTGCTTGTTGTACCCGGATTTGCAACTGGACGACTAGGATCTTGGGAAGCAAACTCTGGCGTTGAATTCACGCCTTGTGGTAAAGTGTACATTTTGCCTGCTTTAGGTTTAATGTGTGATTGATTCAGTGGGTTACCAAACGACCCATGACTCAGTGCGGTGCGTAAACTACCCAAAGGAAGGAGTTTGCAACAAAAACGTGCATGAAACAGTTGCAGTGTATCATCTCCTGAGCATTTCATAAATGTCAAGTTTGCCGGGTCATGTGCAATTTTTTTGTGGCTCCATCCATACCAGTGTATATAGGAGTGGTTTGCTATGAAATACCTTGGAAGTGAGCATCCAGCTTTGCAGTGATTGCCATGTTTTTGTGTTCTGGGGCACAATGAGCCACAAACTGACCTCATGTCATGTGGCACAAGAACTGGGTTTGCCAAGCAGGTTGACTATTTGTAGTTTAGTGTTACATGCAAACATGCTGGTTGTGAGAACACATGGGTAATATTAGGGGCTGACAACTCAAGCTTGACCCTAATCATGCTTATGAACAAATTTGCGGATCCCAACAACAATCCACAGATCTTCCAGAATCGTTCTATGTTGCTCACTTCATCTCTTTTGATTTCCTTAAGACAAATTTAATCATTTTTCCTAATCTGTCATCCATTTGCCTCATATAGTGAGCTTTCAGCTGCTGATCACTGCCTCAGAGTGAGCAGTCAGCCTTTATTTCCTACTCCTTGTGGGGGCCATGATATTCTTAGCAACTTCGCCAAATCCATAATTCAATTATGCTTATATTTTTCTTGTTCTTTCTCGATGTACAGCTTTTTACAGTCATGTATTATCACTCTGTAAAGTCACCTGCTTTAACTCTCAAAATTTATTTCCATCAAGTATGCATAAGATTGCAGCCTTCTTGATTTGTAGCAACAGACAAGCTGTAACAGAAAATTGCAGTTGGAAAATCATCAGAAAAAGGCTCTGCTGAATACAAGGAGATTTTTCTTCTGCAGGAATATAACAGAAGGGTAGCAAAAAGGACCAGCAGCTGGTTTCAAAGCTTCTTTGCACCCTTTTTAATAGGCTGTGTAGATTTACCACCATACAAGCCACCTTTAGATTTCACTTCTGCTTCTGTCATAAAAAAATAAAATAAAGGGAAACAGGCGTGTGTCACCAGTCAAATGAGAAAACTGCAGTACAGCTACACTGTACTTAATTATTTTGCTTTCGATTTTGTACAAAAGGAATATAGAGATCATGCTTTGATGTTTGACATTCTAACAACTTGAACGCAGAATAAAAGTTGGGATCAAATGGCAGTCTACTTGCTCAGAACTAATTATCTGTAGTTCATTCCACCTGGGCATTGAATATGATCCAGTTCTTCTTGATCAAGATCTGGTTTCATAGTCAGAATTTTTAATTAGAAAATACCAATGTAATAAGACAAAACAAAGAAGCTGTTGTACCTTAACAAATTGATTTAGAGTTTATTGAACCAGGAGCCATTTGTCTGATGCATCATTGGCAAAAGAAAGCTGACCTAGGATTCTTCTCCATGGTAGCTGACTCAGAAGTTCAAAGAAGTCCTGATTGCAATTTGAACTCCAATTCTGTTTTGACAGTAAAACAGAATTGGAGTTCTGTGACACAGAGAGCCTGGAGGAGAAGAGAAGTGGAGTGGGGAATTCCTCACTTGATACCAGTTATTGGCAGCAGAAGACCTATGTGGTGTCAGAACTGGAGCCAGAGGAGCTGTTCTTTGTGTTAGGGATAACATTGTTTACCCTAACTGGTTTGGGTAAAAATAATAAATATGGTATCATGGTTTGTTAGTTAAAGTGTGTGTAACTTTAACAGCAGGAATGTAATTAAGGGTGTGGTTGTAAAAGCAATATATATGAAGCGAGGCAAATGCAGCTCTCTCTCTCTCTGGCTTACTGATCCCTAATTACTGGATGGATTGATGACTGCGTTCTTGTAGGAGTGTTGATTTTTCTCAACGGAGAGAAGATAAGATTGGACTGATTTATTGTAAGTGTACTGACATTGGCTATTCAACACGGACTTTGCAAATAGAGTATCCCCGACAAGACTTGACTGAAATTGATATATGACTAATGGACCGTTATTTTGACTATGCTATAATTCTTAAATGGAATAAACTATATTTTTGATAGCACAAGCGTATCTGTATTTTTACTGCGTGTTAACTAGAAAACTTATCTCACACATTTACTTGTCTTCCTATCTGACTTCGCTGCACGTTCTGTTTAGTTTGTTTTCCTTAACACCCATTGGGGAATCCAGGCTTAACACTTTGCTGCTCTTCTCCCATTATCCATGGTAAAAGAAAAGGAGAGAGAAGGCCCAGTCTCTCCTTTCCTGCTCCTGCTTTTCTTGCTAGGGGTAAGAGCTGAAGCTGGGGAAGCAGCATTCCTTGGAAAGGCGCTTTATCATCTTTAACCATGTGTAAGTGCAGCAAAAGCAGCTCGAAATGTCCTCTCCCTTATTCAATGTTTTAAAAGTGTCCCTTGTGGCTTTAACATGCCTCTAATAAAGCCACTGACCATCCACAGCTTCAGAAAAGAGGGGAGGCAGTTCAAACACTTGTCCAGGGGCAGGCCTGCAGCTTCAGCACCCTAAAACGTTGAACTTGTAAAGATAGTTTGGGATATATGAACATTTCCCTGCTATACTGCTGGTCCACATCAGAGAGGCACATATTTAACAGCTTACCACAAGGTCAGTGAACACATGCATAAAAAGCTCTCATGTCTTGCTCCTCTGTCTAACCCACAATGCAGGGGAAGGGCTTCTGCAGGTGGCAGAATAGCAGACCTATGGGAGGGTCACAACTTTTGGTTATCAGAAGAACTAGCATTCAAAACACCAGCTTTCTGTCCATTTTCCTCTCCTCCAAGGGGGAAAAAAAGCAACTTGGGGGGGGAAACCCAGAAGAGCTGCTCCCTTGTTTCCAATTCTCTAATCTACTTGGAAAAGTGGCAGTAAATGATCTTCACCTTCCATGTCTGCTTTCCAGGGCCAGGGGGAATTCTGGTTAAAAAAATACATAGATCTTTCCTTTCTCTCCCAGTTCTTCCCTTTTTCATGGTGCGAGCGTCTTGAATTTCTGTTGCTTAAAAGCAAATGGCTGTGAAAATCAATGTCAGGACCAAAAAGGAAAATCATGTCAGGAGCCTCAGTCAGAGCAAGACATCCATCCTTCCGTTTATCTCATAGTGGTTCTCTGTGCACGGAGCATTTAGTATGATTTGCAGTGGCAGACATGGAAAAACTTTATTTCTGAAGTGGAGCAAGGAAAGACAGGTATAGGCTACAATTGCAGTGGACGAGGGACAGAAGGATGGTGATGTCGTGTGTTCATAGCCTCAAGGAATAATTGGTGTGGATCTTTATGTTGGGTAAAACTGGATGTGGGGATGAATCTCTAATAAAGGCTCAAACCATGGAAAATGACTTGCCTGCTGATCTTTTTTTCCCCCTTCCATTTAGTCATGTCCAATTCTTGGAGACTTCGAGGACAAATCCCTGTAGCTTTCTTGGCAATATTTTTGAGAAATCGTTTACAATCACCTCCTTCCTAGGGTTGAGAGAAAGTGACTGGCCTTAGATGACCAAGCTGGCTTTGTTACTAAAATCGGACTAGAATTCATGATCTCCCAGTTTCTAGTCTGATGCCTTAACCACTGCAGCAGATTGACTCTGCACCTACACAGATGGACAATGACTGGATTAGGGTCAGAACTACAGTGAAATCTCCTCCAGCATTCTTCCATCTCAAATTCATTAAGAAAAAAGACGAAAAAAAAACTCTCTAGCTTCTCATCTTTGTCCTCAAAAGCCATAAGGAAAATTTAAATTCAGCTCTCCCTTCTGAGGTCAAATAAAACAAGGACTTCCAAATCCAATGTTGTAGGTTAACATGCAATTATTTAGATATCTTCTGGGTTAATTTGGGCATGATCCTGGCCAGAAAATGACCAACCTGTAGGATTTGTATTATATACTTATTTGTACAACATTCTTAATTTTGCTCCTAAATTAGCAAAGTTACCTACCAATTTAGTAAAGAGGTGCACCCAAACTATTACATTATAAATGAATCAAATTGTTTGCATAACATTGTTTAGCTAATTCATAGATTGTGGTTGTGTGTACACATACTAAATAACTAATTAGCCAACCCCACTGCACCCAATTTTGAGGTATGTGTGATCAGGGGTAACCAAAAAAATTGGGATAGTTAACACATATTCATTCAACTGTGAGTAAGTATGTAGTGAGGACATAGTCTTAGGGTTAGTGCAAATTTAGCAAGGGGTAGATTCATAATTTGATTCACAGATTTCACTATTTGATTTGTTTGGCTTGGCAGGTTGTATGAGCACACCAGTTCCATAGGTTTCTTTTTCATTTAATTGCTATTTTTCGTTCCCTAAGTGTGCCAGACATTTTTATTTAACTTCCTCCTGGGTAAATGAATGGTAAAGCCTATGCTATGTTAATTTTTTTCATGTGTTTGTCATTTATAGGCAGCTGTTTGTCATCTTGGAATATCTTGGGGGTTCAGTGTTCGGAACTTTTATCAAAGTAGTTTGTTATATTTCTTTCCACTGTTACTTGATTTCTCCATCGCTTTTCATAACTAATCTTAATAAAGCAACTCAATGAAAACATTGCTGTGTTTTGTTATGTTCGTTGGCACAGGATCAAGAATCTTTCCCCGTCTTTCAGATTCAAGGTATGTACTTTACTCAAGAGAAAACACAAATAAAACAGGTAACAGATAACAGATAATCAGAGTTGGAAGGGACTTTGTAGGTCATCTAGTCCAACCCCCCGCCTAACCGGGAGACCCTACACCATTTCTGACAGATGGCAGTCCAATCTCTTCTTGAAAGTCTCAAGTGATGGCGCTCCCACAACTTCTGAGGGCAAGCTGTTCCATTGGTTGATTGTTCTCACTGTCAGAAAGTTTCTCCTTATTTCCAGGTTAAATCTC